AAAAAAAAAAAAAAAAAAAAAAAGAAAGAAAGAAAAAAACAAGTGCATTCATTGAATTGCATACATCCATGTCTTTTTTTTTTAAAGAAAGCAAGATTTATTGAGAGGATAGAAAAACTCCCACAGTAGAAGGCCACCCGAGGGGTTGCCCAAATCCATATCTTCAGTCGCTTCTGTTTGCCAGACACTCTTCTAGGCACTGAAGATATGACAGTGAAAATAAAGGTGAAAATTCCTACTGGGAGGATATGAACAATAAGCTTAAAGAAATTACATAGCAGCCTGGGCAACATAGTGAGACCTCATCTCTACCAAAAAAAAAAAAAAAAAATTAGCCAAGTGTGGTAGTGTGTGCCTGTAGTTCCAGCTACTTGGAAGGCTAAGGTGGAAGGAATGCCTGAGTCCAGCAGGTCGAGGCTGCAGTGGCCATAAGCGTGCCACTGCACTCCAGCCTGGGGGGGAAAAAAAAAATATATATATATATAGAGAGAGAGAGAGAGAGAGATTTTATATATATATATGTATGTATATATAATATATAATATACACAAATTACATAGTACCTTAGGAAGAGCCGGCAGCAGGCCTATCTCCCACCGCAGGGGTGGGCAGCCTGGGGAATGTGGACCTGCTGGACTCAGGCAATCCTTCCGCCTTAGCCTTCCAAGTAGCTGGAACTACAGGCACACACTACCACACTTGGCTAATTTTTAATTTTTTTTTTTTTTTTTTTTTTTGGAGGTCTCACTATGTTGCCCAGGCTGCTATGTAACATCTTTAAGCTTATTGTTCATATCCTCCCGTTAGGAATTTTCACCTTTACTTTCATTGTCATATCTTCAGTGCCTAGAAGAGTGTCTGGCAAACAGAAGAGCCTCAAGATATGGATTTGGGCAACCCCCTCGGGTGGCCTCCTACCGTGGGAGTTTTTCTGTCCTCTCAATAAATCCTGCTTTCTTAAAAAAAAAAAGACGGATGTATGCGATTCAGTGTGCAAAGGAAAAGAAATAAGCAGAATGGGAGCATAAAGAAACGGTGTGTGGCTTTGGGTGGCAGGGGATTGTCTCTGAAAAGGTGACATTTGCGCAGAGAACAGATGGAATGAAAGAGGTAGCAAAACGCTGGAGGGGGAGTGTTCCAGACAGGGGGGAGAGCCAGGGCAAAGGCCCTGGGTTGTTGCTTGTCAGGCAGCGAGGCCAGAGTAGCTGGACTGACAGCGACCAGAAAGGGGGACAGAGAACTTAGGGGCCTTGTGGGCTACTCTGTGGATCTGCGGTTTTTACTCTGAGTGGGATGAGAAGACCCTGGAAGATGAATACATGAGAAAAAACAATTTCTGCTTCTGCTCAGTGACTTGAAGAAAACAGACTAGGACGGGACCATCGAGAGGAGTTGACATGGGAGCCGGGACCAGAAAATGGAGAAGGAGCCGGGCCCTCAAGGGCTGGGGGGAGGGAGAAGGAGAGAGGCCGGGCCTTGGGAAACGAAACCAGAAGCGAAGCCACGGCGCCCGCAGGCCTGGGGAGCAGCCTCCGCCAGCTGGGGAGGG